AAAATACAAATGGAATAGTACAAAAAACCCCAGGTGGGAACAGAACTCACACCCCCAGCCACATCTTAAAACCTAAGACAACGTGTCCTGCAGCTGAGCACCACAGCAGTGACCCACCTGGTGGCCTCTTGTTGGCATCTGTTGCCAATGCATGCTCTTATTTCCCTGTGAAATGAATTTCGTGAGTACCAGGCACAGCTTTAGGCACTGTCCAGCAGAAGAGAAGAAAAACCGATCTTTTCCTTAAACACTAATTAGGATTTAATAACTAATGGCACAATATTCAGGCTCTTGTATGTGATACTCACTGATGGCTGCTCTCTGCAGCTATCCCTGTCCTTAGACAAGGGGAATGATGAGACATGGGAAATGACCTTACTGACAATGAAGAAAAGTGACAGTTGGAATATTTCATTTTTTAATTACCAAAGGCTAATATTTAATTACATTTTTTATTTATGGGGTGTTTTCTTCACAGATAATTTGGCCATGGTCATGAAATTATATATATATATTTTTTAATGTTAATTTACTTAAATTGCTGGCTCTCTGACTCCAATGGGAAAATCTCCACATGGAACAACTGAAAAAATAAAGAGCCCTAGGCTGCTTAAGATTTCTGATTATGAGAAATCAAATAAAGATTTCAAATGTATTTCATAGACAATTAACCTTTTAATGAGTTGAATAGTTTATTGTAGCTATGAGACAAATAAAAGTTTAGGAGCTGTTAACAATATCTGACCACAGTGACAATGAGGTGGCTTTGGTAGTGTCCAACAACCACAGCAGTGCCTCAAGGGGAGGCAGGTGACTGACAGCTCCTTGAGCTGTGATGTCCTCATCTCACCTTGCACCAACCCAGAATGTAAAAAAAACAAGTGGAAGAGGATTTTGTGGAGTAAAAAACCCCTTTTCCTTCAAGCATTTTTTGAGGGTTCAGGGCTGTGCTTTAAGCTGGTATTTAGGTGCTCAGAGAGACAGGTAGGATCATGCTGAGATTCCCACAGACACCTTTATCCCTTCCTTTTTTGGCTGTAATTCCCCCTGGAGCTTAAGTGCATGTGTGACCAGAGAGCTGCATGGCTCCTTGTGCCTGTGCCACCACGGCCACAGAGCTGCTGCCAGGGCACAGCCAGGGTCACCTGCAGGATGTGCAGCTCCCCTGGTGTGCCCAGGGTCACCTGCAGGATGTGCAGCTCCAAAGGTGTGCCCAAGATCTCCTGCAGGATGTGCAGCTCCCCTGGTGTGCCCAGGGTCACCTGCAGGATCTGTGTTCAACCAGAGGGACCTGAGAGATGTGCAGCTCCAAAGGTGTGTCCAGGGTCACCTGCAGGATGTGCACCTCCCCTGGTGTGTAGGAATGTGCCCCTGAAGCTCAAAAGTTTCTCTCCATTAGTTGAAGAAGCATTTCATAATACCTTAGAAACTTCACCTCAAACTAAGGAGAGCTAACTGGACAGAAGCCAAAAAGTCTTGCCTAGGCAATTTACTAGGAAAAGAAGTGAACAAAGGAACTAATCACTTTGTGAGGTGTTTTACCAGGGGCAAGAACGTCTTGCACCTGGCTTGGTTTTTCTCTGTTATTTTGCCTTTTATTAAGCTTTTTTGTTTCCAACACTGCAACAGAAGCCATCCTGCTGATTTTATGCCTCCAAAGGTAGCTGAGCTATCTTGGGTGAGTAATAGACCTCCAAGAGCTTATGAGACCTGGCTCAAAGAGGCCCCTATTACTCTGGTGTGCCCAGGGTCACCTGCAGGATGTGCAGCTCTCTTGGTGTGTCAACCTCTGCAGAGCAATTAAACTCATTAATTCCCCAACTCTCAGGGCATCTCATGTGCTGGGGAAAAAGGCACGGCTCAAAGAGAGGACTGAAGTACACTTAAGCCATTGGAAGGAAGGAAGTTCCCAGGCTGCCCTGTGCTGCACCGAAAATGGGTGAATTAGTGAAGATTTTGGTGCAAACAGGTCTTGGAGCAGCTGATGGCGGCACAGGGAGCGCTATCTGCTGGCTCCTGCTGCACAGTGCAGCTCTTTCTGGTCCCACACCTTCCTGGATGGAGAGTTTTCCATGTGTAATCAAGGTGTTGACAGGATTTATGGAGGCTCAGATGTGGTGTTATATTCGTTCAGCCTCATCTTTTAAAAAAATTAAAATGTTTCTTTATGAAGCTGGAAGTTGAGAAGAAAGAATAACTGGCAGAGAGATAGCTTTGAAGTCAGCCCACTCATACATATCCCCTTTTCTAATTAATCCATTAAATATTTTTTGGTTGGCTGTGCACATCTGCTGTGGGATCCCGCAGCTGCACTGACTCACTGCAGCAACTCAGCCAAACTGGGAGGGCACAGAAGTGCAGAAAACGTAGCTGAACTTGTCTTCTGTGAGTCCAGCGTTGGTGTGGGAAATGCCTCAACCACTGACAGGACCAAGCCACCCTAAAATCATTTTGAGTTGTTTCTAATCCTGCCTAACCTGTGTTGTGCTGCTGCCAGCACAGGATCATGGTGAGATTGGAACAGGGCATGTTCAACACCATCAACAACAGCTTAAATATCTCTAAATTAAAAGATCAATTATTGCTATAGTTTTTGATCCAAATTCACAAGTATTCATTATTTCATTTATTAATTTCTCTATTCAAGAAAAATAAATTTGTCCCCCACAGCAAGAGAAATGGAGACAGGTTTAAGCTACAGCTCAAAAGACCTTCAGTTTCTCAGGACAAATTTTAAGTGGGGCCATGGAACAGCAAAGTGGATGTGAGCTGGATAAATCCCAGTTTTCCACTGCAAGCTTTCTAACCAGAAGTTGAGCACAGCCCTAAATTTTTGGACTGTTCAGAAACTGAGTCCTTAAAAGAGCCAGTTAACACTGGAAACAATTGGCAGATGGGTGTGTTTATACACCAAAAAAAAAAGTTTCAATCCAACTGCTTTTCAGCAGCAGCACAGTTTGGATCTGCTCAGAAAGGGAAAACTGGGTTTCCAGCAGGCAGATAAACCAGCTTGATCCATTCAGTGGTAGCTAAACAGGGATGTTATTGATTTAGGTCCCCAGAATACAATGTCCTTGGACAGCCCAGCTCCCATAAAAGTGACTAAAATGACCCAGGTCTGCTTGGATAACCAACAGTAATATTTCTGTTCCTGGAATTTTTTTTCCCTACTACTACACTTGGAAGCTGATGCCAGCAGGTTTTTTATTGCAGAGTCAATCATGAGGAGCAGCCACAGGCAGTGGTGAAGCCCTGCAGTGTCCAGGGCAGGGAACGTGGGCCTGGGGAGGGGGCTGGCTGATGCCTCAGCAGGTCCTGCCTGTTCCCTGGCCCCAGCTGCCAGACCCAAATCCCCCAGCTCCTTTTCCCAGGCCGTGCTGAGAGCACACAAGCACTCCTTAAGCTGTAGGTCAGTGTGTTCTTGGGATGTCCTGAAGTCCTACAGCCCTTTCTTGCTGTTTGAGGAGAGAAAAACAAGCAGCTGCATTTGGGGAAGGCACATTGCTATGCTTTCTGTGACTCTGACCCCTCTTTGCTGACTTGTGTCACTTGAGTGTCTTCAGACCCTTTAGTGTCTCACTCCAGTCTTTCTTCCAGCACATGGCAGATCCAACACCCTGCAGAGGGAACTTCTGGCCCTGTGGCCTCCCTCTGTTGATCCCCAGTTCCTTCTGTTCCTCTGGCACCTGGCTTGTCACAGGCTGGGGGACAGCAGGGCAGACGTGGCATTCCCAGTGTTCCCCAGGCCAGCTTGGTTAAGTCTGAGAGCTTGTCCTGTTGCTTTCTCCTCTCTTTCAAGGTGTTAGTCCATCATGAGTCTACAATGACAGAGGCACTAAGGGAAATTCCTAGCACAGCCTAAATAATCCCAATTAGATAGAAGATGGCAACTCCCCAACCTAAATAATCTCAATTAGATAGAACATGGCAATTCCCCAGCCCAAATAATCTCAATTAGATAGAAAATGGCAACTCCCTAGCCTAAATAATCTCAATTAGATAGAACATTGCAATTCCCCAGCCTAAACAATCTCAATTAGATAGAAGATGGCAAGTGCACAAGCTGCTCTTCCCGAGCTTGGCTTTTTCCAGTCCCAAACTGCCTGTGCCCTTTGGAATGCAGTGCAACAACTGGGCATGGTCCTGGTTCCAGAGCACCATGATTTTCTCATACTCATGAAGAAAAAGCTTTTGGTTACTGACAGCAGCTGGAATAATAAATTGTGGAGAAGTGAAATTGTTGAAAAAAGTCAGCTGGAGACTTGAGTCTCATCTCATCAGTTGCAATAGGAAGAGAACACAGCACTTCCTAAGGCCTTGGTAAAATCACAGCATGCAGGGAGGGATTGGTAGCTCAGGTTTTTCTGGATCATAGTATCAGTCAGTCAGTTCCAGGAGAGAAAAAGCAAGTCTGAAACAGGCAAAATGCCTTTCTCAGTCACAGACCTCCTGACACACAAAAATGGAGGAATTGCTTAAATCCCACTGATTCCAACAGGAGGCAGCTGCCTCAATAAATGGAGTGTCTTGTGCTCAGCCATTTATTTCTCTGAGAAGGGAATATGCATGAGGAGCCCTCTGAATGCTGTCTGGGAGCATTCCCAAATGCTCCTCTGTGGAAAGGGGAGGTCTGGCTTCTTCTGCTCTAATTTTCATAGAGTCCTCAGAGCCTAGACTACACACTGTGATAGTAGGGGGGGTTTATTGAAGTAGAAGGTCAAAAAAGGATAGATTCAGTAGATCTTCTCTCTTGTTTGATTTAGCTCCAAGAGATCATCCTTCTGTGTAATCATACCAAGGTCAGCTCTGTTGTTGATGCACTGGCCACCCTCTCCCCTCCTGCAGGTAGAAGTGGCTCCAAATTGCATGACAAAACAAGAACAGCAGATTCCTTCGGAATGCACAATTGTAAAAATAAAGATTTTATTTGTAAAGCATCTATGAGAAAATTGTTTAATATACCACTTTTTTTTTTCCCCGAAGACATTAAATACATTTTGCATGAACAGTCCCAGGATTGTTCAAGCCTGCTGTACATTAACACTATTTACCACTATTTACAAGGACATCAGAAAGGTTTACTGACAATGAGGATTTGCTATTCAAAGTAGATCCCTCAAAACAGAAATAAAAGAGTATTAACATAACTGAGAACATTCACTTGTATTTTCAACAGAGCTCCCTGGAGAACTTTTATTTACTGACAGAATACATTGTTGAGTGACTGCTCAGTGAGCAGAACACCAGTAGCTATATTTAAAAGCCACAAAATATAAGTTTAACAAATACTAATCACTCTCTCCCCATCAGTGAGGTGTCTGTGACTCCACACCCCAAATCTTAATCAGGACAGACAAGTTGACCCTACATGGAAGGAAAGGGAGAGCAAGGCATGCAAGACCCTGTTTCATAGGTCCCTGCTACTAAAAATAATATTCCAGACAGGGTCCTCAGCAGGGCTGTCCCAGGAGCTGTGTTACAGCACAGGGATGGAGGGATGAGAAGAATGAATGTGGCTGCACAGGGAGCAGAGCAGAGCTGCTTGTGCACCTCCACTCTGCTTGTGCTGCAGTTCTGGCACCAATGTACTCTGATCTGTGCCAAATAACCTAATCCCCAAAAACCAGGGGTGTTCAGGGGCTGTGAGCCAGGGCCTCAACATCATGGGTTAATACTCAGTGCCTCAACAGGAATTCCAAATGTAGGCAGACTGGCAAAATATACAGATACAGGGAGAGCTGGTTTGAAGTAAAACTCATAAATCCTGCTGGAAATGTGTGCAGCAGTAAACTGCCCCTCTGTCATCTGCTCAGCACATTCCAAGCAGGAAAAACTGCACCACAGCAGAAACAGAACTTCACCAGGACTGCAGTGAAGAGTGGTGGGTAATGGTAAAAGTCATTTCTTCTAATTGCTCTAAAGCAAATAGAAGAAATCTGAAGCAAGGTCTGCTCCAATGCCACAGGAGCTGCTTCTGTTGGACTGGACTCTACTTTGGGATTATCAAGAGCAGGACAAAATTGCACTATATGGCATCCTTGCTCAGCCAACCATTTTTGACAGGCAAAAATAGGTGAGTAAAATACTTTTGGCTCAAATTAACCTAATGTTTGCCTTCCCCACCTCTGAGACTACGCTGTGAAAGCACAGCTGTGTTTAGCATGCTGTACATTTGACATACATATAAGCAGTTATTTCTTCATAGCCCAGCAATTAAAGAAACCTTGAACTCAGAAGACTCCAAATCAAGTTTCTGGTCCACCAGATTTCTACAGCAACTGCACATAACTGAGATGTATCCCATTTTGCTCCAAACTCCTAATCAAGCTGCATATGCTGGAACGCTAATTACCCTGGGCTCATTCTGCAGTCACAGGAGAGAAAAAGGCATATATATATATGTATATAATTTTATACAATGATAAAAGTCTCAGGGGAGGTGAATCACCCTTGGGCAAGTGCACAAAACTCAACAGGATGACTCTGGGCTCAGCTGAGCATTCAGGTGACCTGCCACAGCTACCAGGCTCAGGCACCCTGTTTTCAGTGTCACCTAAATACAGTATTGAGTGGTTTGGGTCTTGTCTCTCTAGATTGCCAGTGTTAAGAGTCATTGCAGTACCTACAGGGGATAGGCTGAAGAGAAGTTTCTTTGTTCCTCACTCTATCACGTGTACAATGGGGAAAATTCCATACCTGTTTAAAGGAAGATTCATTAGGTGTTGTTAGAAGCTCAGGAGTTTTGCAATGGACATTGGGAAGGAAAGGGTGGCATTATCCTAAATTATTATGCACAATTAACATTGAAATATAAGATAAATATATTAATTTTCTGCCTTGGCCAAAATATTTAAGCGAAACAGATGGTTTATCTTATAAGTGCTTGTAGACACACATTCCGATGAGTCCTGAGGGTTCAACCAAGTATTTACCTGATCTTCTCCTCACACAGATGTAAAACAGTATTGCCAGCAGAATCAGCACTAATGCCACTCCAAGTAAAACTCCAAGGACAATCACTGCTACTCTCCAGGAGGAGCTGTTGTCAGTTGATGACTGAACAGCCAGAGCTGGAAATTTAGAGCACATTTTAAGAATGTTATCTAGAAACAGTAAAAAAGTGGGTGTAAGAAATCCTGGAGCCCTAAGTGACAGCTGTGTTTTGCTGCTTGGCAGCTTTGAAACTTTTGAATAATATTGAAAATGTGTTTGTGTGTGGTGAAGATTTGTTAACTAGAAATCTTTTATGAGGGCCCTTGTGATCTCTTGGTGACACCCATAACAGCTGCTCTGAGGATCTGCTGTATGGAATGGTGCAACTTGAGAGTCTTTGGATCCTTTAGTGTGAAGAGAACCTTTGTGTCTGGAACTGGGTATGTGTGATGACTCTTTAAAATAGGTCCATAATCTGTATTAAATCACTATATGTTCAGTGCATGTTTAAATAGGTTACTTGAACTATTTGAATCTCTTAAAAGAGAGAAGTTAATTTATCATCTTAATTTAACAGCAGTAGATCTGACCCTTTAATCCCCACACCATTTCACAGAAGCTCTTTCAGCATCACTTACTTTGCACTTCAATTTGGCTCCCAAACTCCCTCCTTAACACATTACTGAGGCGGGTCTGTATATCACCCACATCTGTGGCTTCTTCTTTTGGCAGCAGAAAGAGAAAATCAGCAATCACACTGCCAGGTCTGAAGTCCAGCACAAAAATGTCAGAGTGGTCATTCCCCAGTTCAGCGTGCATTGCTTTAACAACCTGTGCAAGGTGAAATTGATATTTATTCCTCTTGTCAGTCAGCTGAGGCAGAGCAGGAGCACACACATCAGGGTATTCAATTTCCCTCACTTACTACTCTTTAAAGGTAATTGCTTTGGGATAACAAATAAAAAAAACTCAATGGAAGAGGATTCACATTGTCTGTGACTGAAAATGTGAAATCTGAGTTTGACTTCCAAAGCTCCAATCTGTTTAGCTAGTTGTCAATGAATAATGCATTAAAACAAGTTCTCCTCCTCCACAAACCCATATGGGACCCCGACTGTACAAAATTTGGGATCTACAAAGAGCACCCAATATTTCCAAAGTGATGTTCAGTGTCCCCTGACTTTTTTTAACATGTGCCACTAAACTTCAAGCGTGGTCCTGTACACATTACCAGCACAGAACTTCATGTGAGAGGTTTAAAACTTATTTTTGTCACCAGATTTTCAAAGTCATGACATTACAGAATACCTTTGCAAAGAGAGACAAGGGTGTGATTTGCCTCTCAATCATTCTGGCATAAACCAAGTGTATTCCTGTGACATCAATCAAAATCAAATTAATTACACTGATATCTCCAAAAGTAGTCTTGCTTAGTGCTTTCATATGGATAGAAAGCAAGAACAAGCAGTCTCCTTTTTAAAGTAAGACTGGTTGAAATGTTTTTGTCAGGACTAATCTTTTCAGAAAATTAGGTGTTTGATTCAACCCACTAAGAGAAGCTATCTTCTCCCTGTGGATAAATATGGTATTTTACCTGAAAAGTCTGAAAGATTACTATTTTTCAAAGATGATAACAAGCCTTGCTCTGAGTCACTGCTCAGTTTTCTGCCTCCATCTTTATTATGGAATAAACCCCCCACCCCAAACTTTACATCCCTTTAAGTTCTTTGGCCAGAGGCTCCAAAAATTATTTTCTTTTCCTCGCCTTGATGAGCAGTCTAGATAGGAAACCTGACTTATGCAGGCAAAAGTGTAACATTTCAAAGCTACAACTACAGAGTGGAAGTACTGTGGAATATAAAAGAAATAGTTCAACATTCAAATTGGGGAAAAAAAATCCAATAGAGAAATTGTCTATATTTTCAGCCATGTTAGTACAGCCTCTCTGATTTTGCCATTTTTTTGAAGAAAAGCTGACACTTTGCATGAGGTAAAAGCTTATTAAAAGCCAGTAAAGGAATTCCTGCTGCGTTCAGTCAGGTTGGAGGAAACCTTTTACATCCACTAAAATAAATTTTCTATCCATGAAGTGGAGATGTTAGCAGTCATAAGACAAGGTTACCTCCGAGTTGGCGTGGTGAGAACAAATTAATTACTGCTTTTGAAATCTGTGGAGTTTCTCAGCAGAAGGGTATGATCATCACACTAAAATTAGCTGTGCTAGTTATTTAAAGCAGTCTACCCCAATCTGACAGTAGATTTACCTTTCCAACAGGTTTATATACATCAGGATTCCTGAGAGGTGTTGAAATTATTAGGGTTTTTTTTTTTAACATGCTGCTAAAGACAGTTGAGTGGCAGACTGATGCTTCTGCCTGTCACCATTACTAGCTCAAAGCTTCTACTTTCTCTCCTCATTTTCCCCCTGATACTTCGCCCAATCCTGCAGCCACTTCCATGAGGTGACTTGCCAATAATCCATGTATTGCCAATTACAGGACACACTTGCAAAGTTTTCATGTTTCCAAATCTGTGCTGAAATGCTGGTTTTGAGTAACTCCCTTTTTTTGTCTCCACAGGCACCAGTTTAGTGAAGTGGGAGAAAATAAACAGAACGGGATGTTCCTCACAAAAATAGAATTTTAAAGTGGCTTTCACTAAATAACTTCAATTTGAGGATGGCTTAGGGAATATAGCCCTCCTCACTGGACAACAAGCTCTCTGTCCTTGGCAGATTTTGTGCTTCCTGTACTGCTTTTTCTTTTTCACCTGTCAGAGTCCTGATTTAACAATGAATGTAGGAGACTAAGGCTGCTAATCACAAGCCTTTCTGCAGTTCATTCATCGACAAAGAAGATTGCATCAACTTACCTTTGCTTTGAAACTTTCAGACCTTTTTATGTAGTCATCACTATCAGAGTTATAAAGTGTATTATTAAATGTCTCGTTTTTTAACCTAACCCTGCAGGCAAACGCTTGGTTATCTGGAAAAAAAATTTTAAAAAAAGAAGAAACAATTAGGTGAATGCCAGGATTACCTCCACAATTGGTCTTTGAACTTTATTATCTCATGTATTTATAATATGAATTGATAAAACCAGAAAATATTATTATTATTGTTATTATTTTTATTATTGTTGTTGTTATTGTTGTTGATATTAATATTACTAATACCATTACTATTAATATTGATATTAATATTAATATTAATATTGTTTGTTATTATAGTGATAATAACAATAATAATGATAATGATAATGATAGTAATAATAATAATAATAATAATAATAATGATTTTTTAAGTGTATCATATGTGTCTAATGCAGTGGCTTTGGAACCTTCAGAGCTGAATCTCTCCAAGTCTGTCAGCCATCACAATCCCCACGAACTGTATTGTTCCTGTATTATTTAGGGTGCATCCCACTCCCTAATTCACCAGCCACTCTCCCATTGATTCCAGCAGAAGTAACACCAGTCTGTTAGACTCTGCAAGGCTCTGAGTTTAAATCCTCCTGAGTAGGTGGATGAGCCCTGAGCCAAAAGAAGAAAGCTTTACATAGAAAAGTCCAGACTAAAATAGAGCTGGAAGCTGACACTGAAGTTTGATGGAGGCAGCTTCTTCACTAAAGAAGTGTGAACTTCAGATGCTGTGTGAACTGACAAAATAAAGCAGATGGCAAAATACTCCTGGGAGATACTATATTGTGAAATAATACCCTGTAGTTATGGATAAACAAATGTTAAGGTTCTATAAACTTACTTGAGCACACAATATCTTTTAAGTCAGAACAGCCAGTACTTTGTGCTAAACAAAACTCAGGTCTTCTGAAACAGGAACCAGAATCTGAAAAATAAATGTGAAAATCAAGATAATCACTTCTGTGCATGCATTATTAATGCTAATAAGAAAATTATGGAATAGGTGAAAGTCTTTCATTGTGGCCAAGGAGTCACCTAAGCAGCAGTTCCTTTGGCCCAGTGAGAACTTAGAATTGGAAATTATAAAATTGGAGCATATCAAAAGAGAGGCAGGTGGTGGGTGGGTAGGTGGTATTTGAGAACTCACTGAAATAGCATTGAGAACTCTGATTTCTTATGAGAGCTAAAGATATAGGTTGTGCTATTATGTGCTTGTACAACTCAGGTAAGCTAGATGGAGTTTTCCGAAGTAAAAGTCACCTGCAATTTATTTTGGAAAAAGATATGCATCATGGAGTCTCAAAACCTCAGTATGTTTGTCTGGATTTGCTAATCTGAATTATTTATGAGGGGTCAAAACCCATTAAAGGCTGGTATAGCAGGTTTTATGTGGTTAGCTCATTGGATTATATCTTCAGTTCTCATAGAATTGAACATAATCTCTAATTTCACATGAAATATGGATCACTTGGTTTTATTGCTCTTTTTAATTAGCTTACAAACAATTTTCTGGTAGGGCAAATATCTCCAGGTTGCAAAAGGAAACAATTTTTTATTTTTCTTGAATAGAGAAAGTAATAAATGAAAGCCAGTGGACTGAAGAATTGAATGATTTCAATGGAAATAATGATAAGAATTCTTTGGCTTTGTGGTCCTAAAGACTGAGAGAGAGGGTAAGTCCATCAGAAGGAACCCCACAGTCCACTGCCAAAATAATTGCCCTAGAAAGGTTTTGAGAATAATCAGACAGTCCATTAGAGAACTCAAAAAAGGATTGCAACAAGGACATTTATGTTCTAGAGGTCAAGAAATGCTGGAAGAAACTAACAACTGCCAAAAGTCAAGTTACATCTTTCAAGTGATATAAAAAGAAATTGTGAGCACTTTCTCAGCCACTGGGAAAGAATGATAAAGTGCAGCACAGTTTTATCAAACGTGGATCATGCCAAAATAACCCAGTGGCTTCCTTTGACAGGCTGACTTTTAGATCTCTCCCACTGATGGAGAAGCAGCAGTACACAGTGCCAAGTGGTAATTTGTTTAGTGGAAAAAGTTTTTCTAAAGGAATTGGCTAAGGGGGAGATGCCAATGGGGAGTTTTAAAAGGAGAAACCTTGATTTGGAGGGATATTATGGGTCATGTTCCTTCAGAATCAGTTTTAGTACAGAGACACAATTAAACTGTTTGCCTTAATGTCTATAACCTAGGATGAAATTTAAAAGGTAACAATGACAATTAAGGACTGCCTGCATTCACAAAAGCATGTAGAACCTAAACTTCACAATACCACAATATTTTCTGGTAAATTTACAACCAAAACATCCTGACTTCTGTACAGAATTATCTGGCTCAATAATCCGACATGATCAGAAATTTTACAGAGCAAGCTCTTATTCTTGCAAATTCCTGTTTGATTCAAGCACTGCCATCCAAGTAAGGGGATGAGTCAAATAAATTAAAAAAAAAACTTGCAGGAATAAGAGTGTGTGAGATCAAATCCAGATCACATGGCAACAAGATACTGTGAGTTTATATTAATTAAGAAGAGGTGCCAGGGTGATGGAGGGGGTACCTGTTCGGACAGTGACTGAAGCAGGATTGTTGTCAGCACAGGATGACAGGCCCACAGAAATGGTGTACACATGGCCAGGAAGCAGGTTTTTAAACACAGCTTTTGTCTCGTTTGTAGTTGTTGCATGAATCTCCTTTCCATCCTTGACAGAGATGTTGTAGAGGCTGCCTTTGCTGCTGCTGCTGCTCCAGCTGAGCTGTATTTCTTCTTCAGTCACATTCTGAACTTTGATGGACACTGTCACTGCAAAGTGGGAAAGTTTAATACAGCTGAGAGCAGCTCATTTCACTTCTGCAATTCTACACATTTATTATTGAAGAAAAAAATACTAATGAAACCAATATAAACTCTTGTGTGTTTTTTGGAGCTGATTTCAGTTTTCCACCTCATTCTCCCAAAAGAGCAGAAGTGAACCATTTGCTCTACAGTCAGAAACCATACATTCATGTACTTTGTTTGATGGTTCCAAAACACAAATGGGAGACATTCTGCTTGCTCCTTGCCTTTGTAACTGCAGGCAAAGTGTGGTAAATGGTCAGAATTGTACAATGTTGCTTTTAGACAATAGAGAATTGATGAGGCTGATTGAGAAAAACATGAGCATTCTGAAGTGGACTGGTATTCAACTCATCCTGATATCCTCAGGTGGATGGATTTTTAAAATACCACCAGGAAAACCCAAGTCCAGGGCAGTAGAGAGGCATTTATTAAATGTGCTTCATAATAGGATTAAGAAAACTCACCTATCACAGTGGTTTATGCCTGCAAGCAGGCACCCAGTGAATATTCCAGGAGAGCTTTACCAAGATGTAGAAACTGCCTTGATTTATATTTGCATAATTATGCATTTTCAGTGATTTTATCAGACTTCCCTTTCTGAAATTATATCCAGTTACTGGGTCCAGGAGAGCTTTACCAAGATGTAGAAACTGCCTTGATTGATATTTGCATAATTATGCGTTTTCAGTGATTTTTATCAGGCTTCCCTTTCTGAAATTATATCCAAGGATTTTACCTCACAGCTTATATGACCAATGAACAAGAATATTGTGTCTCATTGGGTAATTTTCATTCTACTATTCAGTATCAAATATTTACTTACTGCAAGGTGCTGACGCAAATGTGGTAGTGAAAACGGAATTAGATGTAGTTCCTGTAAATCCAGTTGTATTGGTTTTTGGAGGGACTGGAGTTGTGTGTTCTGTGAAATAGAAATTTGGAGGCAGTGAGTAGAATTTATCTAGAAGTTGACGAAGTTCGTGCTTCTTATTTTCATAAACAACTTTCCAAAAACAAGCCCAGAAAACATTCTTCTTTTGCTTGCCTAATTATTTAAGCGTGGTACCACACAAAATCTGATCCCTCCAAGGCCAGTGTACATAATTATAGTAAGATATAAGGAGGGTCAGGGTCAGAAAACACAGTATAAGCAATTATTTTAAGGTGTGGGTTGGGTTTTTAAATTTATATAAAGCAGTTACCTGAAGGTAGATCCTGGAGACAAACTCTCCCTGGAACTTTAGGACTTGTGTCAGTGAATCCTTTCTTGCACTGGCAGGAATAAGTTGCTCCTTCAGCAGTGCAGGCAGCATTTTTGTCACAGTCATTTAAACCTGGCTGACAGCTGTTTCTTGCTACAGTGGAGTTGAACAAAACAGAAGAAGAACAAAGGTTTAAGTCAGTATTGGAAAAAGAGATAAACCAAGTACCATTTGCCTTTCCCCACCCAAATGCCCTTTCACCAGATGTTGCCATCAGTGAAAAACACACACCACTGCTTAAATTCACAGTGATGAACAAATTCATACCTTCTATGAAAGTCTTTTTAAGATCAACTTTAAATACTGTGCTCCTGTTAAGGGCCTCTGTAAAAGCATCTGAAATCTCTGATTTTGTTATATTTTGTCCAACATCCAACACGATCTTAAAGATCACAATCACACTGCCATTCTTGATGCTATTAATTACAATACGTATTTTTGTTCCATTTTTTAATTCTTGTATCTTCTGTGGCAGATGTTGGGTTGTCTGCAAGGTAAAAGGTTTAAGTTAGTGTCTATTTTTCTTCTTGAAAATATAGCAATATGCTAGCCATAATTCAATTAAAAGCAGCTCTCATAGTAGGAGAATATCTATAACTTCCAGACAGAATTTCATTTAAATCAGGGCCTTGGAGGAAAATATAAATGAAAAATGACTTCTGCTTCATTGCTAACCATCACATAATCTTTTCCACCCACATTTAAGATATTCATACCCAGATCCTCATGATTATTTACATTAGGAAAAGCTCAGCAAAAAATAAAATTTTAGTTTAGAATTTCTAAGCAAAATACCTCCATAATGAACTTCTTTTCAAACTCCTTAAATTCTGTACTGGATTTGTTCTCATATCCAGCCTTGAAATTTTCACTGATAATCCTAGTGGTTCCATTGTAGACTTCAGCAGCTGTGAACATATGAAAGAATAACCATGAAAAAATGAATTTATTGTTTAAATATGGTTTCCACTGCAGACTCCAGCAGCTGTGAACACATGAAAGAATAACCAGAAAAAAAATGAAGTTATTGTTTAAAAATAATAAGTTTCCCAGCTAAGTAAGGCTTGAGAATTAAAGTGCATGGAGCCGGGAGGGGCTAGAACATTGAACCAGTGTGGTTCTGGCTCAGTAAAGTTTTGGATTTGGCACGAGGGTGAGTCTCTGGATCACTTTTTCCCCATGAAAAAAATTGCAGTGTGACTTTAAATTTCTTAAAGTTTGGCCTCCTTTTGCCTATTCATTTCAATATGTAGCTTGTTCATGTCGAGGTAGATGCTCGGTGTAAAAGGGCTTCATGTTCAGGCCATGAATGTGTTAGCTTGCAAACAGAAAAAGAAACAATTCCAGAGGAAATACCTGTCTGAACCGTCAGGGAGGCATTGACATTCTTAGAGCAAGCTGAAACACCCACGGATATTTGATACTGATGAGCAGAAAGCAGATTTTCAAACGCAGTGCTCGTTTCATTTAGGATCCTCTCCTCCACCCCTCCCGGTTTTCCCAGCAGCCGCACTCTGTAAGGACTGTCTGCTGTGCCACCTTGAGGCTTCCAGCTGAACTGGATCGTTCTGCTGGTCACCTTCTGCAGCTGGATGGACAAAGTGATGGGAGCTGAAAAGCAAAAAAGGAAATTGGTGTGAAACACGCTGTTACAGTCTGTGTGTCTTCAAGGAACAGTGTTAATGGGAAACTGACAGCCTAGGGAAATATTGAGGTCTCTGCAATGTTTGTATAAAGATATGAAACGTAGAATTATATCACAAAATCACAGAATGGATTGGAAGGGACCTTAAAAATCATCTCATTCCACCCCCTGCCATGGGCAGGGACACCTTCCACTGTCCCACGTTGCTCCAAGCCCTGTCCAGCCTGGCTTTGAATACCTCCAGGGATGGGGCATCCACAACATCTCTGGCCAGCCTGTGCCAGGGCCTCCCCACCTTCACAGGGAAGAATTTCTTCCTATTATTTACTCTAGCCCTACCCTATTTCAGTTAAAAGCTGTTTGTCCTGTCACTACGTGTGTGCCCCTGCACAAAGTCCCTCTTGTAGGTCCCCTCTAGGCACTGGAAGGTTCTAAGGTCTCCCCAGAGCCTTCTCGAGGGTGAACAACACCAACTCTTTCAGCCTGTCTCCATTGCAGAGGTGCCCCAGCCCTGTGAGCATCTTTGTGACCTCTTCTGGACGTCCTCCAGCAGCTCCACGTCTTTCCATGTTGAGAACTCTGGGGCTGGAGGCAGCTCTGCAGGTGAGGTCTCACCTGAGCAGGGCAGAGGGGCAGAATCCTCCCCTCCCCTGATGCTCACAGTGCTTTGGATGCATCCCAGGACACCTTTGGCTTTTTGGGCTGTGGGGGCACGTGGCTAAGCCATGCCAAGCTTTTCCTCCACCAGCACCCCCAAGTCCTTCTCCTCAGAGCTGCTCTCAGTCCGTTCATGCCCAGCCTGTGTTTGTGCCCGGGGGGCCACCTCTGAAACCTGTCCTGGTCCCTCTGGATGCCATCCTTTCCCTCCACTGTGTCAACTGCACCTCACAGTGTGGTGGCACCAGGGAATTTGCTGAGGGTGCCCTCAATCCCTCTGTCAGTGTCACCCACACAGACATTGAACAGCCCCAGGCCCAGGAGGGACCCCTGAGCAGCCACTTGACATTGGGCTGTCCTTGGCCATGGAGCCATTGTCAAAGACCAAGCTGTTCTTATTGTGTGTGTGCACATCTCCTGCTGCACTCCATGAACACCGTGACTCCAGACCAGGGATGGATCAACCCCTTGGACTAACAGATCTTGAAGAATTCTTGTATGCTCTAAAAATGGAAGTCATGCCGCCTTTAGGGGTTTTTTTGGGTGCAGAGTACAAAAAGGCTGCATTCTCCTCTTTTCCATCTTTGCTTTACTTTTTTATCCATTGAAAAATGATGAAAGGTTCATTACTGTGTATTCTTTGAATATGGGCAGATAGCCCTTTGACAAAAAATTAAAGATACAGTAGATAAGAATTAGTACTGAAACAACTGAGAATCAAATTAGCAAAAAAAATTCAGCTGCATTCTCCCAAGGAAGGAACTGCCTCTAGCATTCCGTAAAAGGAAATTTCAAGACCAAAATCAACAAAACAAATAAAAACCAATAAAAACCAATAGAAACCAATAAAAATTCCTATTGATATAACTTGGCCTATGCAGCATAACTACAAAGCATTTTACTGGCACTGCCTAACACAAGGTGTGTCATTTCAAAAGCAACTCCAGACAGGAAATGCAGCTTTTGAGAAAATAAATGGATGGAGGGATTCATATTCCTGGATTAAATTCCCATATTTAAAAAAAACATTGTAAAAAGCTCCAATTCCAACCAAAAATAACAGTAATGAAAGAAAATTATACTCAATTCTTCCGAAAATAGAGCAAAATAAATTTAGTATCATGTGTTAAAATACTCACAGCAAGTCTTAGTAAAAGAAGGATGAACAGATGTTGATATACTGAGGTTGGTCGTGGATGGGGTTGCCAAGGATGTGGAAGGGAGGGAATGGGAGGTATTGGCAGTGGGCTCAGTTGTTGTGTCCCCCTGGTACATGGTGGAACTCTGCCCTTCTCCAGGAGGAGTCGTGGCACTGCTGCCTGCAGAGGCTGTGGCTGTGGAGGGCGAGGGGCTCCCCGTGGGAGGTGAAGTGACCGTCACCTCCTCTGGGGACTGTCCCTGGGCTGTGGAGGAGTGCTGAGGTGCTGGTGTCCCCGTGCTGCTGTCTGGTGTGGATGAACGGCTGGGTGCAGTGGTTTCTGAGGCAGAAGCCACTGGGTTAGTGCTGGCCGTGCTGGGAGCTGGGCTGGCTGTCACCTGCTCTGCTGTCGCAGTGTCTGACCCCACGTCTGTAACACCAGCAGTGGAGAACACAGGGGCTGTGGACGGGTGGGACGTGGTGGCCAAGGACATCCCAGTGGTGCTGCTCTGCTGTGGGCTGGGAGGCACAGCTGAGGAGCCCTCGGGAGAGGTGCCAGAGGTGGAAGTCACTGGGTTCATGATGGGCTCTGACTCGTTGCCCGTAGTGCCAACAGTGGAAAATGGAGAGGAGAACACCGGGGGCTGTGGACGGGTGGGATGTGGTGGCCAAGGGCACTTCAGTGCTGCTGCTCTGCTGTGGGCTGGGAGGCACAGCTGAGGAGCCCTCGGGAGAGGAGGAGGAGGACTGGCTCGTCACTGCTGAGCTGAAGGCCAGGGAGGAAGCCGTGCCACTCTCTGGGGCAGTGGTGGTGCCAGTTCCTGTTGTTGGGAATGCTGTGGACACTGCACCATTCCCAGGAGACGTCCCCAGTGAGCCCCCTTCTGACAATGTTGTTGTGGGCGCAGTGTCTGTCCTCTCTTCTCCACCCACCGTCGTCATCATGGACACCAGGGACGTGGCTGGGAAGGAACGGGAGGTCTCAGTTGTTGTTGTGTCCCCCTGGAACATGGTGGAACCCTCTTCTCCAGGAGAAGTCGTGGCACTGCTGCCTGCAGTGGCTGTGGAGGGCGACGGGCTCCCTGTGGGAGGTGAAGTGGCCGTCGGGGTCTGTCCCTGAGGGAGGGCTGTGGGGCCGAGCTGAGGTGTCCGTGTCTCTGTGGGTGAAGGCCGGGCCTCCATGGTGGCTGAGGCAGGAGAGGTGGAAGGCACAGGCCTGGGGGAAGCCGGGCCCTGTGTCTCTGAGCCAGCCGGGAGCTGAGCAGTGCCAGCAGCGGAGGATGAGGAGGACACCGGGCCCTGTGTCTCTGAGCCAGACGGGAGCTGAGCCGTGCCAGCAGCGGAGGATGAGGAGGACACCGGGGCTGTGGGTGGCTGGGATGTGGTGGCCGAGAGCATCTGGGTGGTGCTGCTCCGCTGTGGGCTGGGAGGCACAGCTGGGGAGCCCCCAGGAGAGGAGGAGGAGGAGGAAGAGGAGGAGTGGCTCCTTGTGGCTGAGCTGAGAGGTGGGGAGGCAGCAGCGCCGGTCTCTGTGCCCATGCTGGGGGCAGTGGCGGTGATGGTTCCTGCTGTTGGGAATGCTGAGCTCGCCGCGCTGCTCTGGGCAGACATCCCCAACGAGCCCCCTTCCTGCGTTATCGCTGTGGGTGCGGTGTTCATCTTCCCTTCTGCTCCCATTAAACTCATGGTGGAGGGGGACAGCGAGGTTGTGCCCAGCAGGGAATGGGCTGGGGTGTGGGGCTCTGCCACGAAGCCATTTGAGCTGTCTGCAGCTGGGCCACTTCTGCTGCTGTTGCTCGTGCTCCTCGAGATGTTCAGGTGGCTCGCAGTGGTGGCAGTCGTCGTGTCTCTTCCCTCTAATGCCATTAGGGTACCTGCTAGAATTTCAGAAATGTGGATTATGGATTGCTGCCCTGTAATTCTGTGAAGTGCTTTAATAGTTACCAAGTGTAACGGTGTTCTTGTGTGAAAAATTCACTCAACGTTCTCATCTTCATTGTTATTCCTTTCCTTCCTCATTTCTACTTTCATATGCTTTGCTATTACTCAACTACCATGAAATCTCTGTTACTTCCTTTTTCCATTTGCATAAATTTGAGGAGATCTTACCAATTTCCTTTTTTTTCCTGTATGAATGTAGAGATTTATATTATGTTTCTATTCCTAGTCTACTTTTTTTTTTTTTTTTCCATTTGCATAAATTTGAGGAGATCTTACCAATTTCCTTTTTTTTTTTCCTCTATGAATGTAGAGATTTATATTATGTTTCTATTCCTAGTCTACTTATTTTTAAATTTTCTATGCACTTTTCTTCTCATAAATATTATTTTATTTACAGTAAGGAAAGGGTTTACTGGTGGACTCATCAGTGTTAGATTTAAGGTTGGACTCAATCCTAATGGTCTTTTCCATCCTAAATTATTCTATGATCCTATGATTGCTCTAAATAAAATTCTTAGACAATTAACAGGAAAATTAAAAATTAGCAGAATGAGTTTTTCAGCACAATTTTCTCCTTACCTGTTTGTGCATATTTTATTGCTTCAATTTCTTTACTTTGCAAGGTATTTATTTCTTTCCTAATTACTTTCTCTCAGGCAGGAGAGAACAATTTTTCTGAGGATAACTTTCTGCTGATGTTCTAAATCATATTAATCCTGGGTGAAAATTCATTGCCTTCCTGTGTTTATTTCTAATTACAAATAAATTGTAAATCCTGTAGTTCCCAAGTGTGAAGGTGACAACATTTCTAACACTCTCAAAGTTTCTTTAAAAGGAAAATGCAACCCTTTTTCCATTGTGATTAAATAGTCAGGCTAATTTGGGTCTATTTAATCTACTTAATCTGGTAATTCAGCTTTGATTTTGAAGAGTGCCTTTGTTCCTGTTAAAAACCCAGACATATTCTGCCTTATTGCAATTTTACTCCTCAGGAACACTTAATTATTATCCTGGATCTTTGGGTTTGGCTGAATGAAATTTAGAGGATTCTCAGACAGGGTGTACTGGAGCAGCTCATCAAATTCTTAAGGACCACATTAATTAACTGCTTTTGACTCTCTTCACCTGCAAAATCAAGGTGGTATTTTCATATAGTTTTAATGTCTGTATAGAAACTTGTAATGTTACAATTCATATTTTTCAAAATTCTTCCTACAGACTTATATCTGTTTTTTAAAAAAAATCTATTGCAGAGCAGTGAGAACACAGCACAGTTAATATGACCTAATCCATGCCTTTTTTATGTGTTTTTTCCAAAAAAGTCTTTCAGAGGAGAAAAATTGGCAAAATGCATCATTCATAACTAAGCTTAGGGGTAAAAAAAATCTGGTCAGACACTGCATGCTTGATCTTTTAGGTGAGTTTTCTGAATACTTTGCTCTCATTCTTTTACCTGCTTAGAGCTTTATACCCCTACTAAATATCTGCTGAAATCTAATGCATTCAATCTAAAAAAAAAAAAAAAAAAAAAAAAAAAAAAAACCACCAAAAAAAACCCACACCACCAAACAAAAAAAACCCAACAAACCACAACCCTGTAAATATTGCATGTTATTTGATTTATATTTGTTTTTAGCAGCCCCCCTTCCCTGATTATCATTTTGAATGTTTCTCAACGACATCCTCTAAATGCACAGCGACAATAAATAATCACATTAATTTTTACTTACAGAGGAGAACGGAGAGGACGAAATGCCAGAGGTAATTCTGAGTGCCCATGCTGAGTGTCCCCCTCCTTGCAGTGCTGGCCCCGTGCTGAGAGTGGCATTTTGAATGGAACACTTTGGGAATTTAAACAGGGGCGAGGCTGCAGGTGTCACCTCCCAGCCTCTGCACGTCGGGACCGCAGCCAATGCAACGAAAATCTCACACCTGACCTGTCCTGCAATAAATCCCAGCGTTTTCTGCTCAGGCATGCTTGCTTTTCCTTAATGGAGCAAGGTCTGAGTGTGATCCAAAGGTGAGGCAAAGACAGGAGGAATTTAGTGAGCAGTGCAACACATTTGAAGACCCTTTAGTTCAGGGTATTCGATAAGTAAAATATTTTAACAGCCTTGGGTCTGGGCAATGCATGACTTAATGCCAATACAACACTTAATAGGAGTAAAAAAGATGCTTTGAGCAAGTAATAAGCAAAAGTATCCTAGTAAAGCTATAAACCACAAAGCAGTTAATAAACAACACAGTTACAAATGTTTCTTTTTAATTAAACCAAGAAAAGAAACCTTGGGTGCACAAGTCTTGCCCTAATCCATAGATCCATCTTTTTCCCCTATTTTCCTGTGGTATTAATTATTTGGGAGGGAATGTTTAAATATTCAGTTCTAACTTGCATGTTTATTGTATCAGAACAACAAATTGCTAGAAATGCACCAGACAGATGCCAGTCATTGCTTCTGCAATACTGCAAAGACACTGATAAATCTCCATTAGATTGTTGTAAATCTCCATTATTTCACCCCTTTGAGGCAGGTGGAAAACACTGGATGACCAGGCTTGTCATTTTTAACTGAGTTTATCCCCATTTAGGTGAGTTTATCTCCATTTTCTTGAGCAGGTAAACTCCTCCTAACTGCAGGCAGCTGCCATGGACAGTTCCTGCTGGTCACCAAATCTGGGTCACAACTTTAACTCAGTGATGTCAAAGCTGCCTCTGCGTGCCTGGGGCTCATCAACGACTTAAACATTTACATTTTGTCATGTTTTTAATATCCTACCCTGCCTGAGGTTTATACTGCTGAAAGTCTTCATGAAATCATTTGCAGTGATATTTTTTTTTCCAGCCACACTCTGTGAGGGGAATGCTGTCCTGAGTAGGGTGGGATGAGGTGGAGTGGGGCAGAGTAAGGACTGAAGAGGGAAGATGATTATTTACCTAATTCTTTTTCATGTTTTTTATAGACCTGCAAGACTTGGCACATCTATAACTGCATAAATTCCAGATTTTGCTTCGGCAGCTGTTGTCTAAAATTGGTTTCATTTTGGTTTTACTCTGACAGGGAAGTAAGACAAAAATATTCCTTGAAATGGATTCAAGGGTATTGTTCTCTGGTGTGAGGCAGCAATTTCAGCTTTGTGCCTTGTTTGATGTAGAAACTCCTGATTCAGTCAGATCTTTTCTTAGCAATCTCTTGTTTACAGATCTAACTGGAATTCTTAAAGATTAGATACAAGCTATTTCTGTTTGCATAAATAATTGTAAATCACATTTTCCTTCTGCTTAGGAGGTCAATGTTGTCAGACTTCTCTTTCTTGGACTTCCATAAGACCAAACCCAGTCTCTAATTCTTGCTCATGGTATAAGAATTAGAGATTCTTATCTCTAATGAGATAAGATTATCCCACCATGGGGACTGTGGGGGTACAATTCCACACACCAGGGTAGTTTTTGACCCTCAGCCCCTCCCCTGACCTCTGCAGGTCCCCCTTATGTGCAAATAACCTTTAATGAGCTTGCAGACTGTGGAGTACAGGGTGGGAAATGCCACTCCCTACTCCCAGGATTTTCTCTGAAATTACATCCATGAAAACTTGGCTGCAAAGCCTATGAAGCCAAACCCTCAGTATCTTAGAAGCACCACTGGTTTTTAGTGACACTTAACTTGTGTGAAGTCTTTTATGAACCAAAAGAAGAAACCATGTTCAGATTTAGCAGCATAAACCCATTTTTACTAAAATACAGCAAATGACATATTGCATTTTTAAAAAACCACCAGAATTCTCTTTTTTTTTTCTTTTTTTATTTTTCTTTTTTCCTTCAGGAAATAGGTACAGCAGAGGGGCTGGATGTTGCATTAGAGGCTGTCACCAGGGCTGAGATTCAGATAAGCTCCTCTGTTAGGCAGCCTCAATTCCACAGTTTCTCTTCTTTCACCTTGACGATGCCCCCAAACCAAACCAACTTTTAATTCAGCTTGTCATGTACTTTACAGTAAAAGTTGCTTTCTGGTAAACACAGAACAAGTTTTGCCACATGCCTTACAGGTAAGAGACTTTCCAGTATGAAACTGGTGACCCTTCTCAAATATTTTAAGTTCCTTGTGACTCATCTCACCAACCTTTAAACTCAAGATTGAAATGATCACTTAATTCTTGCAGTTATTTTTGAAAATGCTGAAGAAACTCAGGTTTCATCTGAAAGGTGAAGATACACAAGGAAATAGCAAGATGAAATGACAAGTAGTTCACCTGCAAAAAACCCTGTCATTCCTTTGGGGTGATAAAAGACTCAGGACTTTGAAAAAAAACCCCCTCTCTTTAGATACTAATTTCCATCTCCTTAAAAACACCTCGTTAAAAGCCTGTGTTTACCAAGGGTTTAACTTCTCAACACAAACAAAAGAAGAATGATGAACCTAAAAGAAATACAGAGGGCAGCTGAATTGGTGAAGGCAGTATCTTTTATTAAATCAAAGAATACAATTTGGAGAAAAACAAAATTCTTGTGGGCTTCCAAGCCCCTCGGCCAATTTGAATTAGAAGCAGCAAATGTTGGGGAGAAATGCTAGTGACAGCTGAAAAATAAACAACCCATTCTGAGGCACTCAGTTTTCTAATTTTCCCTCCTGACAGCCATCCCCAAGCACTTCCAGACTCTCACTTGTCATTTTGAAAGTCAGAGATGGAATTTCTTGTAGAAATCACAGTTTAGAGGATAATACTGGTTTTAGCTTTTTTTTCTCCTGCTGTAGTACCAAACTTACACGTCCAAGAACTTCCAAAAACGTGTCAATACTGTCAGTGAGGATGTGGGTGTTAGGAGTGAAGGAAAAATGGGGTTTTTAGGTAAGAGCTGTACTTCCCATCTGTGTAAAAATGTCTGTAAGTTCACTTACCTGTCGTTGATAAAATTCAAAATGTGTTTTATTATTATAAACAAAACCAAAAATGTATTATTTGTGTTAGAATAACACAAACAGGGCTCTGTAGCCAACCTGCTCCCATAAGGAAACGCTGGTGAATGAAACAGCCTTAGAAGCAGGATGTGCCTGCACTGTCACAAAGTGAGGTCACAATATGGGTTTCAGACATTCAAACCCTCCTGCCTTCTACAATCACTCAAGATTATTATTACTGTTATTGTTGTTGTAATTTTCTTAATTATTTTCATTATTATTATCATCATTATTATTATTATTGATGTTATAATTTTAATACCAGCTGTGGGGCAGTGACATTTCCAGCTGCCATTCTGCATTATTTACAACCACACTTGTGCAAGAAGTGCCCTACCACTGAATTTTCTCTTCAATTCCTTAGTGTGTGATTGTGATTTCAGAGGGCTCAGCCCCCCTGAGCTGCATTATTCAGAGGAAACCACTGGGTTTGTTTCTGTATCAGCCTATTACATATGAACTCAGAACTGTAGGTTTTTATTTTGTGTTTACTGTCTCATCAATCATAAATCACGAGATTCTCCCATGTCTCAAACTGCTTCCAGAAAAGCTACCTTTTGTAATTTCAGTGCCAGAGAGAATGTGGGTGGTTATTCCCAACAACTCTCTTATTTTCAACTGATTTTTGCATTTCTAATTTGGTGTGATTTCAAACAGCACAGATATAATAAATCCCAAAAGCCCCAAGACATTCAAAGTGTTTGGCTTTAAATGTGCACTCAAAACTTACAGGTGATGAGGGTTTAAAATGTTACAGGTTAAAAAAAATTCTGAGAAGCATTAAAATTTAATCAGATATAAGGAGATTAGATTATATAGGCACTGGGTATTCAAAGAGTATAAATTGCCCAGACAATTTAACAACACAACATGTTCCAATACTGTCCCTTCTCCCACATCAACCACACTGAAAACCTTCTTAAAGCAAAATCCAAAGCTCAGCCCAACCAGGCTGAAGAAAGTCATGATTTTTTTTTCTTGAAAAAAAGAAATAGGGAAATGGAAAGAAACAAGAGACAAAAGTGAGAGGTAATCTATTTGCCTCCTAGATTTACGGAATTTGGAGTTCATGTTGGGATATTTTTTTAATGCATTATAAACTATTGCTGTTTGCAGTTGGCAAAGCAGAATTCTTTTGTGGAGGACTGACAAGGCATGGTGCTGAGCCACAAAGGTGATGAGTGGGCAGTGACTAGCTCTGCCTAAATGAAACCCACATTTTCCTTCCCAGCCTTGCATTGGAATACCCTGAAAAGAGCAAATGGAAGAGGAATCAAGTTCAAAACACCAGGACAAACAGCACAGGTAAAGAATCAGAGATGCAGCTGAAACAAATCAATGCCCACAGGTCACAGCTTAGCTTGGAATCCCTGAAGCTTCCAAAACATGGATTTGTCAAAATGCTCTGCAAAAATAGGGAGAATTTCTGTGCAGGAGAAGAGTTTGGAAGGGGGGGAAGGAAGTTCTGCAAAACCAAAAGCACAGCACCATCAGAGGATGCTGCTGCCTCACACAGCTCAGACAGGAGCAGCCGAGGTGGCTCCAGAGGCAGAATCAGAAAAACTCTGACAATCTTCATCTGTGCTAATGGCACCATGCTGTTTCTGTGACTGCATCTCTTTACTTCTTTCTTCTGGGCTGTGCATTTGCTTTCATTTGCTCTACCAGGGACTAAAGCTGTGTAGTCCCCATAATTCTGGGCAGGAAAATGAAGATAAAATTACTGCAGAGAAGAAATTCCAACTCTTCACCAAGCAGCATCCCCAACACAACATCTGCTGCAGGAGCACATTAAAATACCCCACTGTCAAAGAACAAATACCACATTAATCACAG